CACAGAGCGGGCGGGCGGAGGCTGACGGGAAGCGAGTTTGGCGCCGCGCGCCCTCCCACGCGGACCAATCAGATCTCTGGACGCGGGGACGTCGCTTTGCGGAGGGAACGTCGGCGGGTCAAGCAGTCCGCTAGGCCCCCGGAAGTGATGCAACTCCCACCCGCCCCACCACGGGCCTTGCGGCCCCCGCCCGGACATGCCCGGAAGTTCCTGCGAGCCGCTGGGGCTCGGTGTGGGTCCGCGATACTTCCGTGCGGGCTGGGCGGGCCTCGGCCTTGTGCCTCCCCCTGGGTGGAGGGGCCGAGCCGCAGCCTGCGGTCCCTCGGCTGCTCAGGGTCTTGGATTTGCTTGTTTTTCGGGTCCTTTGAGGCTAACATCTCCGCGGATCCCAAGCGCCCGGCCGAGACGGTGCTGCGCCAGGAGAACAGCTGGCGCGTGGTCGCTGTGTGAGCCAGCGGCCTCCACTCTGCCTCCGTTGCAGGCATCTCCGGTCTCTCCCTGTGGTTTTTGTTTTATCCTCACTTTCACCCAAGTTTAAGATCTTGCATCCTTTTAATTTCTGTAAATAGTCTTAAACAGTAACGGGTGCATGCTAGGAAATTTGCGAGTTTTTGTTTTTTAGCAAGGTGATCCATAATTTTGACTTAACAGCTTTAAAAGAAAACTTAAAATTAAAGGCTTAAAAATTTTCTATTATCTTTTACCTGAGCTCCGTGGACTCCTCCCCGATGGAGGCACCTGCCTGGAATTGAAGGGCGTACCTGCCCAGGTTCACGGTAAACTCACTGGGACGGGAGGGGAGTGGGTGACGGGACTGCAGATAAATGAACACCATTCACCTTACCCAGGCAAATGCTTCCCGTCCTCCAGGGCACAACTCTGAAATGAACTCTTATCTCCTGGCTGAAAATTTGTTAAAAAAAGAAATGCTGAAACCCTGTTGAGAAATACAGGGGAAAGACACAAACAGCGTATTTACAAAAGAAGACCCACATGTCCAATAAACAGGAAAACCTTCAGCTTTAATAATAAGAAAAATGCAAATAAAAACACGATTTAAGTGGCAGGTTTGAACGTAGACATGAGATTTTTAAAAATTGAAGTATGATTGATTTGCACTGTTGTGTTAATTTCTGGTGTACAGCATATTGATTCAGTTATACACAGAAACATTCTTTTTCATATTCTGTATTATGGTAGGTTACTACAAGATGCTGATTATATAGTTCCCTGTGCTTTACAGTAGTGATGCAGGATGTGGGGCATGAGGAGGGCTGAGTCCCAGGTCTCGGTTGAGCCCCTGGGATGTGCCCTGCCAAGTGTGGGTCCTTGGCTTTGTGCAGGAAAGAATTCAAGTGCAAGCCACTGTTGAGTTAAGGTAGATTTATTTAGAGAGATACATACTGCATAGAGTATAAGGCAAGAGGCAGGCAAGGAAAGAGTTGTGGGAATTGGGTGTGCAGGTTAAAGTAAAAGTAGGTACACACTCCATAGACCGAGGGCAGGCCCTCTCCAAAGGGGATAGAAAGGGCAAAGGAACACTAGGCGTGGTGTTGTCACTTTTTATGGTCTCAGTAGCTTCACAAGCCTTCGGGTGCAATCAATCTAACAGCCCTGGGGAAGGGGCTGGGATTCCCAGGGATTGGGCTACCGTGCATTCTTTGGCCTTTTGCGGCTAGCCTTGGGTCTGTCATGGCGCCTGCGGGCATGTTATTTGATCATGCTGTTACAATGAGCGTATAATGAAGCTCAAGGTCTATTAGAAATCAAACCTCTTAATCCTCAAGGCCAACTAGGAGGTGAATCTTCCACCATTTTGGTTGCTGTCATTCCTTGAGTGGCTGTGCCCTGCCCTCTTCCTTCCTGTCTCAGTAGGACCTTGTTGCCTGTTTTATATATAGTAGTATCTGCAAATCCCAAACTCCTAATTTATCCTTTCCCCCGCCCTTTCCCCGTGCTAACTGTGTTTGTTTTCTGTCTGTATGTTTCTGTTTTGTAAATAAGTTCATTTTTGTTTCAAATGGTATTATTTTATTCTTTTTATTGCTGTGTGATATTCCATTGTGTATATATGCCATATATGTATAATATATATATAATATATATATATATTATATATATGTCACATCTTTATCCAGTCATCTGTCGATGGACATTTGGGTTGTTTCCATGTCTTGGCTATTGTAAGTAGTGCTGCTATGAGCATTGGGGTGCATGTGTCTTTTCGAATTAGAGTTTCCTCCAGATATATGCCCAGGAGTGGGATTGTTGGATCATAGGGTAAGTCTGTTTTAGTTTTTGAGGAATCTCCATACTATTTTCCACAATGGCTGCACCTAATTACATTCCCATCAGTGGTGTAGGAGGGTTCTCTTTACTCCACACACCATCTCTAGCATTTATTATTTGTGGACTTTTTAATGATGGCCATTCTGACCAATGTAAAGGGATACCTCATTGTAGTTTTGATTTGCATTTTTCAGTTAATTATTGATATTGAGCATGTTTTCATGTGCCTATTGGCCATCTGTATGTCTGCATTGGAGAAATGTCTGTTTAGGTTTTCTGCCCATTGCTTGATTGAGTTGTTGTTGCTGTTTTGTTGTTGTTGTTGTTGTTACTCAGTTATTTGAGGTGTTTGTGTATTCTGGAAATTAAGCCCTTGTCAGTTGCATCATTTGCAGATATTTGAGATCTTTACTTTGAACATCAGGTTTTTCTTTTAAAAGAACTTGTGAGATCATTAACTATAATATGAAGTTATGTTGTGAAATTAAGTTTGGGCATATATGGAGTTCTGTAGTTTGTATTTGAAGGTCTTGTAATAATTTTATTGAAAGTGTTGCTGTTGTATCAGCATCACCAGAATAACTTGCAACCCTTTAATGTTGTTATTCGTGAGGCCACTTCCTGGAAGGCAGTTTAATTTATCATTCCTATCACACAATTTCCAGTTAAAGAACAGGTTAGAGCCCAAGACTGGTAGCAAGATACCTGTTTTTATTTCTGTATTTGGTGAAGATGAGATGTCTTGGAGGAATCTGTCAGGGAAACATGAGTGTACAAACATGTACTTGTTCCTTTGCTTTATCTGCAGAAGGGGGACCCTTCAGTCTAGAGGTGGTTGTGGAGTGTGTGGATACCTCTGGGTTCCTTTTCTTTATGATGCCTCTGGGGCCTTTTTACCTTCTGTTGTGAAATTCACTGTTAGAGATAAGGCTTGCTGTGGATGCAGGCTGTAATTTGAACTGGTCCTTTACTTTGTTTTCTTAAGTGTTCAAATGAGTTGATTATCCCAACTGAACTCTGAACAAACCTGTAGCACTGTGCAACTTTTGGGGGCCAAAATCTAGATTGTGATGGGGCAGTAATTCTGGATCTTTTTCATGGGTGTTTTCTTTATAAATATACAACAAAATAACAAAACACCGAAAGACCTTCTTCCATTATTTTGAATCGAAATTACGTAAGCAAAGCTATTGTAGTAATAGAATATGTAAATACTTAAAGGTGAATAATGCAAACAAACTCTCAATTATTGAAATCATGCCCTTTTAAAGCTTCTCAGTACTTGAAAGCAACCAAAGAAAGCAGAAATAACTCACAAAACCCAGTAAAATGAGGCCTTACAGGCTTTCAAACTAGGTCTAGTTTAAGGTTTTTATTTAACACGTTTCTTAACAACTAATTTGGGTGTTTTCTCAACTTACGGTGGATTCCAGGTGCCAAACCTGAAGAAGGGAGTGAATGGGTGGAAGCAAGTGAGCTACAATTGCAGCAGGAAGTGACAGTCTAAACAGCCTTTGTGGAGCAGGACCCCAAACACCACTGAAGTGGCATTGGGCTTTGTCATATGTGTACATAGAGTAACAGCATTGAGCCTCTGCACATACTCCAAATCTGCACAGAATCACAATGGCACACCCATTGCACATTGTTAAATGAAGTGGCCAAAATCAGACTGACTTCTGGCAGAAAAAAGGCAATTTTTCAATTCAAACTAGTGCATTAATATGCATTTCAAGAAATATAAAAATGATTGAGACATAAATTAAGGACTGTTTCTCTTACACAAGCTGCTTCCCACATAGGACACCCACCTCCCTCCATCCTTCTCCCTGATGACAGTCTGGACCCTGCATGTCCTGAGAAGGAGGAGACTGAGGGGGAGGCTGGCCTGTCCTGCCCGCCTCCTGGGGGCCACTGGGCCTTGAGGTCTGGATGCTTCCAGGTACGGGATGAACTTGCCACTGCCCACCGGAGCCTCCCCCTTCTGAGATTCAGGAAATAAGAGGACCCACTGAAATGAGCCCATCCCCAGGATCTGTTGCAAGTCCACTCAGATTTGCCCTCCTGACCCTAAACTAACACCTGCAGGAAACAGCCTGCGATTCCCCTAAAGACAGTGTTCTGCAAAGTTTCCACAAGACTCCTTTCTACCCTATTCTGAGCAAAATACTGGTCAATCCACACTGCCGTCCCTCCCTGAGCAGACTGGGAAGCTGAGGCTTTGAGGAGCCAAGTGACCACCCAGAAGCACAGATGTGGGGCCACGGAGTGGAGTCTGTGCCCACCACCTGCCCAGGGTGGCCCCCAGCAAGTTCTACATCCTCCTTCTGAGGGGTGCCAGCTCACAGAGCCTCCTTTTAGGAGGATTCGCTTTGCAGAACCTTCTCTTCAGCAGGACTCATGTTACAAAATCTTCCTTTAATAGGATTCATCTAATAATCCTGTTTTTAGGGTCATCCAGGAGGCTTTTCACCCTAAAGTGGGTTCTGCCTCATTCACCAGGGCAGCTTTCCTCGTTCACACTCCTGCTTGTCCACTCCAAGCTCAGACCCAGAAAGGCCCCTCAGGCCCCAAGCCCCATGGCTCTGCCTGGGTCCCTGCTCCCCTCCTGCCTGGTCCCTCCCTTCCAGGTCCCCTATAGGGTCACCAGGAGCTTCTACCCACTGAAGCAGGCTGTCTGCTCTGCCCTCTGGAAGCCTCTGCTGTGTAGGGTAGAAGAAACAGGAGGTACTTATGGGGCCACCCTCATACAGCACAGCAGCCAGCACCCCACCTACTGACCTGGTCAGTCTGGATGGGCCTGGGCAGGGCTCAGAGACCTGGAACATCTCCTGGTCCTCATCTCATCCCAGCACTGCCCATGGGTGAGTAGTTAAACAACTGTGCCAGCAGCAAAGTGAGGATGCTTGTTCGCAGGCTCCTCCCAGGATATGGAGCTCACCTGGCCAGAAACCCAGCAGCACACGGGGTTCACATGGGCGGGCACTAGGAGGCCTGGGGTGTCTGAGCTCAGCAACCAGGGAAGGTGGGGCTGCCTCCTGGGGTGTGGGGCCAACAGGATCACAGTCCTCTGAGGGGCCTGTTAGCCCCAAGGTGAGAGGGGGATACAGTGGTTGGGCAGAAGCATCTGGCATGGGAGAGGGGTCCAGGGTGGAAGGGGAGAGGCTGGGTCAGGGCAGGTGGGTTATAGCAGATCTTGTGCAGGGGACTGTGGTCCTGATGGAAGCAGCTGAGAGCCAGAGAGGGGTTGCTGTCAGGTGCTCAGCTTCACTCTCCTGTTCCTTTGTAAAGCTGCTGTGTCAGAGTTTGAAACACTACCAGGAGACACCTGAGCCCAGTGCTGCTCAGGCTTCATCCAAGAGGCTCAGGTGGAAAACAGAACCACGGCAGGCCCCACCCATGTCCCAACAGGGACTGAACCCCATCAGGGCATCAGGCTCACAGACTTCAGGAGACCCTTGCCCTCAGGACTGGTCTCCTTGCTCTTACCTGCTGGTCAGAGATCCAGGTACCCCGTCCTGGCTCCACCCTCTAGGGCCTGGATTCTGGGACAGCTTCTGGGTAGTGCAAGATCCTCATGCTCCTTTACCTTTCTGGGGGTGACAGTGTCTTTAAAACCTGCAACCGGCTGATTTTGGAAGTCTGAGTGTTTCCAGCAGGTATAGGGGGAAGGAAAGGGTGTGAAGTTCTTAAATCTGCAGGGTCTTCCAAGAGTAAGTACCTGTGCCTTCCCCTATCCCAGTCTATTCCCCACACCATCTGCCCAGGAAGCTCATA